TGAGCGCCTCTTAGGAGCTCTGAGAATTTTTTGTAAAGTTGACATCGTTCCAACTGTTTCTACTGCAAATCGAGTGTAGTTTTTTTTCCCCACAGCCAAAAAAATTGGACAGTTTTTGTTTCGTTTGTCGTGTTATTTTGTTTCCTTCCAATGGTTTTGTTGGTCAATGCTATTTTTCGTTAATGCTAGCGCTGAACTCACTCCCAACTATATGCTTACTTTTTTCAGGGATAAGAAACTATTTACGGTATAAATTTTAATATTAATGCTGCTAACCTTCGGAAAACCTTTCTCAGTAATTGCTCAGAAAAAATTCAAAGGTTGAATTCAATAAATAACTCATCAAAACAAATAGATCCAAAAAATTCGTAACCCTACTTGCAGCAGAAATTTAATGAGGTTTTCAATATTCAAAGTGATAGTTTACGCAAAAAACATGCTCCCAGACTGAGAGAACATTGATTTTCTTGTACGTTATCATAATCGAATTTGACTTGAGCATTATCATGCACTTAATACCAAACTCTGCTTTAGCCTATTGCGCAATCCATGTTGCGAATTTGCGCGACGCAAGTTGCGACTTTGCACGACCCGATACCCAAATTGCGATACCCAAATTAGCTATGTGGCGACTTTGCGCTACCCAAATTAGCTATGTGGCGACTTTGCGCTACCCAAATTAGCTATGTGGCGACTTTGCGCTACCCAAATTAGCTATGTGGCGACTTTGCTCTACCCAAATTAGCTATGTTGCGACTTTGCGCGACCCAAATTAGCTATGCTGCGACTTTGTGTGACATAAATTAACTATGCTACGACTTTACGCGACCCAAAATAGCTATGTTGCGACTTTGTGCGACCCAATTTAACTATGCTGCGACTTTGTGCGACCTAAATTAGCTTTTTTGCCACTTTCACGACCCAAACGAGCTATGTTGCGGCTTTGTGCGACCCAAATTAGCTATGTTTCGATTTTGCGCGACCAAAAATACGAGATGATTGAATTTCGGGCGCGGAAAATTCATTTCGGCTATCCATTTCGGTCGCAACATGAGTCGCGGACCTCGGTCCGGGTAGGAATTGCTCTTAGAGGCAACACAGTTTGAGAGCTTTGTAGCACAGTAAACTATCATTGACCTCACTAGGCTTTACATCTTTATAGTTTTCCCAGTCGTCTAAATAGTCGTTCACACGTTTGGAAAACCTAAATTTGTCATAAATTTTTGCATTGTTCTGAAGTGATATCCTTGATATTGTATTCGAATGTTTCAATCAATGATTCCTTATTAAAAACTAGGCTTCTGTTTTCGTCCTTAGCCATTATGTTCGCGTACTGTGTGTTTGTATTGTCGTTTTCTGATCTTGGGTTTTCTCTTGAAAACTTTTCTGAGGTCTGGTGAAAAACTCAAAATAATTTGAACTCTTTCAAGCGTCAAACGTTGTCTCACTTATCCCGCTAATAAAAATCTTCTTTTTAATAAAATGGATCATTCAAAATATTCTGAGTCGCTTTTTTTCTAATTTGTCTCTCCGAGATCGGATTTTTTTTATTTGTTACCATGACTGAAAAATGTTAGATAACGCTTATAATTTGATCAACAATAAGAAGATGCCAAATACATCCATTACGAGGCCAAACATTGCATTCTGTGCAGCATTGTAAGCGCATTCCGCAACAGACCAAAATCAGACTTGTCGCGGAACCTGCATCTTTGCTACTTCTCTTTGAACTTCTTCGCTGTTTTGGATTCCACAATGAGATAACAAAAACATTGTACCGCTCAAAAACGCTCCAAAAATAGGCGATTTTGCGGAATCCAGAAAAGTTTGTAAAATCCACAAACAAATAAAAAGACATTTGCATTGTTAAATTGAGCTGATGCGGATTCCACAACTGTAAGCGGAATCCGCAACGTGTAAGTGGAACCCGCATTTTGTTTGCGGATTCCGTTTACATATATGTATATGTGTAATATACCGTTTAAGATTAAATATTTTAACTACTGGTCAAAGAAAAATTAATCTCAATTACTACATTGATTAAATACGAATTGAAATACCAAACGTTTCGTCTCAATTCCTGTCAACCCAACTTCGATCTCAAATCCTGTCGACTTCAATCTCAACTTCGACCCAAATACTGACCTTTTGAACTTCGATCCCAATGACTGACCTACGCATCCCAAATACTGACCTAATTCGATCAAAAGTTCGAACCCATATACTGATGCAATCCCAAATACTGACCTAACTCGGCGATTTCCAAACACTCCCAAGTCAATTACTACCAATATTGAATGTATTTGGCGTTAAGCTTCCAAAATCAGTGTTTGGGATTGACCTAAAATGGCGATATGCTGTGTGTTGTGTTTCCATACACTCTCAACCCAATGACTCTAAAAATTGAACTTAATCGGTTTTGTGTTTCCAAAATATTAAAAGGTGACATCCACCGATTTAGTTAACAAATGTTTTGAGACTTAATCGTGGATTCTGCTGACAATGGTTAAGTCCCTGCCTTTAAATTCCGCATTGCTCTAGATAAAAATCCCAGCTCTAGTTTTTAATTGTTCTTATGCAAGTTCAGTATTAAACAAAATTCTGAATCCACTTACACTTTGCGGATTACATTTACATTTGCGGATTCCACTCACATTTTGCGGATTCTACTTACATTTTGCGGATTTCACTTACATTTTGTGGAATCCACTTCCAGTTGCGGAATCCAGAACAACTAGCTATATTTGTTTGTTGCAAAATCCGCAACAAAACAAATATGCTGACAAAATTAACGTTACAGGTATATTTATGCCGAATCCACTGAAATTTTGTTCGTGGAATCCACTTACATTTTGGAATATATTTAAAGATTTGTCTCAGTTTGGCACTATCCATTGCACAGTTTGGCCTCTTAATGTCATTTAAGGACTGTTAGAAAGAGTTCAGAAAGTAAGTGATAATTCTGACAGTCCCAGAAAAGTCATGTTACAGTAAAACGTTCCAGAAAATCTTCGCATTACAACACAAACATCGAAATAACTGTGGATTTTAGATTAAAAACGGATCACAAACCTTCATTCAAAGCAGACTTTGATTAATAGTGACAATTTATTAGCAGAAGTTGTATTAATTGATTGAGAAAGAAAAGCGTACTGTAATAGCACAAAAGTAAAAGTGTTGGACAACGCCCAAAAACAGGTCTCGATTCGCTTCGACAAACTGAAAAATAAATTGAATAAATTCAATTTTAATTTTTTTTTCAAATTCATTTTTTTGATTCCATTTTTCAGGAAATCAATTTTGAAGTCACAGAATTTTAAAATCCATTTTGTAAGTTTTTGTAAAAGAACTCAAAAGGCAAATTCAAAGCTCTTACAAACGTGCCTGTAAAAGAAATTTGAAGATTCTGTAAATTAGTTTATAAGAGAGGCCAAAAAACTTTCAAATAAATAAACGTGACTCAGTTGAAGGGCTGAACTGGGCTAATGAAAACTTTGGCAAATTCTTTCAAAAAATCTAGAAAAAATTTCTGTTAAAAGCTATTTTAAAAAAGCAGCCAAGTTATCACGTTTAGTCTTCAAGTCTTAAGACAGTAGTGACCGCACCATGAATTTCATGAAAAAATATCCCGTGCCTTGGTGTTACACGCAAAAGTACACCACTCAAAAACAACCTGGCAAATAAATTAGCCCAGGTCAATGTAGCCCACACAAATAACAATTTTGTAGCTCATCTGTTGAGTTGAAGCAATTACAAAAACGCGATACGGTTAACAAAATACTAAATTTAAGGTGCCGCTTCTGCGCAAATTAATCAAAGCAAAGATATTTTGTGAAACTGCGCGTGTAATCAAATTCAATTCAATCTCAGTTCAAACTTGAGAAGGCAGTAAAATGCGCCTCAACGAACGTTTTAAATCCATCAAACTTTTAAACTGTCAGAGCGAAAAAAAGGTGCTTTCAAGCCCAATGGTTCATTTATTGACAAAACAACTCTATCACTGCAAGCCTCTGATTTATACCAACAGTTTGTGATGAGGGTAAAGTTTTCATAGTTTCGTGAAAACATAAAAAGTGTCGTTTGATAACCAATTTTTTTACCACTTGAAACACCTATTTTTTTTATGAAAATTCTTTTAAAAATTTTTGCGTACGTTTTTTCTAGATAACACAAATCTAAAACTTTGTGGGCTTCATATGAGACGAGACTTGCAGTGTCTAGTTTTGTCAGTAAATTAACCCACAACTATGGTGTATTTTCTTATTAACTAAACAAAGCCAATGATGGTTTTTGGTGCAAGTTTTGTTCCCAAATTTTGCAAAAACAAAGTACACCATATTAATTCTGTTTTAGTTTTAAGCAAGATTGGTCTTCTTTATTTTTTGTTCAAAATCAACCGTTTTTTGGTCAACAATTTGAGAAAGAACGCGTTTTTCCGGATATTTGAAGTCAGCGTTTTATTTGTTTTCAAAATATGCGTTCCGAGTTTTAAGATATACCATGATTTCATGCATTTTTACCAAATTTTTTAAAAACTACAATTGTAGACGTGTTTTACCTCTGATTTTTTTTCCTTGAGACAAACTTTTTGCTAGAACTTTTTCAGAAAAATGATGATTGAGCTTAATTTTAGTTGTTTCCTTAAGTTGTAGACAATATGACCTCTTCATCGTATTATATGAGAAGTCAAACCCTCATTTATTTAGAAAAAATATATAAAAGTTATGAGAATGTTCGTTGGTCGTGTAACAGAATAGCCTCGCAATTTCTTCTCAAATCAAGACCAATAACATAGGCCTATCTACAAATTAAATTGGGCAAAAGATATTCTTTTCTTACCTTAATTTGAGTTCATCCAATTTTTTTTTGAATTCATCGCTCCTCGTGGGAAAAATCGTGAAAAAGGAAAACCTAATTCGACTCAAGCTCTTATTTAACCCGTGAACTGTTTCCCGGGTCGAGATTGGGGACTACTGTTGCGACCGTTGCGACTCAAAACGATGTTGCGACCATTGCCACTCAAATCAGCGACCATTGCTACCCAAATCAGCGACCATTGCCACCCAAAGCAGCGACCATTGCCACCCAAATCAGCGACCATTGCCACCCAAATCAGCTACCATTGCCACCCAAGTCAGCGACCATTGCCACCCAAATCAGCGACCATTGCCACCCAAATCAGCGACCATTGCCCCCAAATCAGCGACCATTGTCACCCAAATCAGCTACCATTGCCACCTAAATCAGCGACCATTGCCACCCAAATCAGCTACCATTGCCACCCAAATCAGCTACCATTGCCACCCAAATCAGCGACCATTGCCACCCAAATTAGCTACCATTGCCACCCAAATCAGCGACCATTTCCAACCAAATCAGCAACCATTGCCACCCAAATCAGTGACCATTGCCACCCAAATCAGCGACCATTGCCACCCAAATCAGCGACCATTGCCACCCAAATCAGCGACCATTGCCACCCAAATCAGCTACCATTGCCACCCAAATCAGCGACCATTGCCACCCAAATCAGCGACCATTGCCACCCAAATCAGCCACCATTGCCACCCAAATCAGCGACCATTGCCACCCAAATCAGCGACCATTGCCACTCAAATCAGCGACCATTGCTACCCAAATCAGCGACCATTGCCACCCAAAGCAGCGACCATTGCCACCCAAATCAGCGAACATTGCCACCCAAATCAGCGACCATTTCCACCCAAATCAGCGACCATTGCCACCCAAATCAGCTACCATTGCCACCCAAGTCAGCGACCATTGCCACCCAAATCAGCGATAATTGCCACCCAAATCAGCGACCATTGCCACCCAAATCAGCGACCATTGCCAACCAAATCAGCTACCATTGCCACCCAAATCAGCGACCATTGCCACCCAAATCAGCGACCATTGCCACCCAAATCAACTACCATTGCCACCCAAATCAGCGACCATTGCCACCCAAATCAGCGACCATTGCCACCCAAATCAGCTACCATTGCCACCCAAATCAGCGACCATTGCCACCCAAATCAACTACCATTGCCACCCAAATCAGCGACCATTGCCACCCAAATCAGCGACCATTGCCACCCAAATCAGCGACCATTGTCACACCCAAATCAACTACCATTGCCACCCAAATCAGCGACCATTGCCACCCAAATCAGCGACCATTGCCACCCAAATCAGCTACCATTGCCACCCAAATCAGCGACCATTGCCACCCAAATCAGCGACCATTGCCACCCAAATCAGCGACCATTGCCACCCAAATCTGCGACCATTGCCACCCAAATCAGCGACCATTGCCACCCAAATCAGCGACCATTGCCACCCAAATCAGCGACCATTGCCACCCAAATCAGCGACCATTGCCACCCAAATCAGCGACCATTGCCACCCAAATCAGCGACCATTGCCACCCAAATCAGCTACCATTGCCACCCAAATCAGCGACCATTGCCACCCAAATCAGCGACCATTGCCACCCAAATCAGCAACCATTGCCACCCAAATCAGCGACCATTGCCACCCAAATCAGCGACCATTGTCACAACCAAATCATCTACCATTGCCACCCAAATCAGCGACCATTGCCACCCAAATCAGCTACCATTGCCACCCAAATCAGCTACCATTGCCACCCAAATCAGCGACCATTGCCACCCAAATCAGCGACCATTGCCACCCAAATCAGCGACCATTGCCATCCAAATCAGCGACCATTGCCACCCAAATCAGCTACCATTGCCACCCAAATCAGCGACCATTGCCACCCAAATCAGCGACCATTGCCACCCAAATCAGCGACCATTGCCACCCAAATCAACTACCATTGCCACCCAAATCAGCGACCATTGCCACCCAAATGAGCGACCATTGCCACCCAAATCAGCGACCATTGTCACACCCAAATCAACTACCATTGCCACCCAAATCAGCGACCATTGCCACCCAAATCAGCGACCATTGCCACCCAAATCAGCTACCATTGCCACCCAAATCAGCGACCATTGCCACCCAAATCAGCGACCATTGCCACCCAAATCAGCGACCATTGCCACCCAAATCTGCGACCATTGCCACCCAAATCAGCGACCATTGCCACCCAAATCAGCGACCATTGCCACCCAAATCAGCGACCATTGCCACCCAAATCAGCGACCATTGCCACCCAAATCAGCGACCATTGCCACCCAAATCAGCGACCATTGCCACCCAAATCAGCTACCATTGCCACCCAAATCAGCGACCATTGCCACCCAAATCAGCGACCATTGCCACCCAAATCAGCAACCATTGCCACCCAAATCAGCGACCATTGCCACCCAAATCAGCGACCATTGTCACAACCAAATCATCTACCATTGCCACCCAAATCAGCGACCATTGCCACCCAAATCAGCTACCATTGCCACCCAAATCAGCTACCATTGCCACCCAAATCAGCGACCATTGCCACCCAAATCAGCGACCATTGCCACCCAAATCAGCGACCATTGCCATCCAAATCAGCGACCATTGCCACCCAAATCAGCTACCATTGCCACCCAAATCAGCGACCATTGCCACCCAAATCAGCGACCATTGCCACCCAAATCAGCTACCATTGCCACCCAAATCAGCGACCATTGCCACCCAAATCAGCGACCATTGCCACCCAAATCAGCGACCATTGCCACCCAAATCAGCGACCATTGCCACCCAAATCAGCGACCATTGTCACACCCAAATCAACTACCATTGCCACCCAAATCAGCGACCATTGCCACCCAAATCAGCGACCATTGCCACCCAAATCAGCGATCATTGCCACCCAAATCAGCGACCATTGCCACCCAAATCAGCGACCATTGCTACCCAAATCAACGACCATTGCCACCCAAATCAGCGACCATTGCCACCCAAATCAGCGACCATTGCGACTCAAAATGGCAATGCTGCAGCTTCTTCCATAGCAAAAGATACGAAACCAGAAACTTCATCCCATCGATTTCATTGATCAATAAATCTTACTTTTTGATTGATTACTAATTAATAATTATTCTATATATCGAAACAATAATCTGAAGTTTGGTTTTTCGTCAGTTTGATATATAGTTTGATTTAAAATATCTAAATTTTGTCCTTTAATTAAACAAAATGGTGGAAAAAATAAAATGTTTCGATTGTGTTCTTATCATATGAAACTTCAAAGTTTCAAACTGATCCGAAAGTGACGGTGTCTTCGGATTGTCTTCTAACTGAACTTCGTCTTCTCTGTTTTTCATCCACAATTTTGTGACCTTTGACCACTTGGCCGAAAGTCTCAAATTGGTCGCCTTTTTCCTCCTCTCCCTCTTCTTCCGTTTGTATTTTAGAAATATCCCCTCTTGTTTTGTCGTCTTCTTGAACCGTCGGCTTGGTGCCCGGTGATTGGAGCTTCTGGAATTTTTTATTATCATCCGGAGTGGTTCCATGTTCCCAAGAATTGTCGTGCATTACGTCATAGAACTGGTCAAAGTAGTCTTTTTTTCCGCCACATTCTATCGTGCCAGCAGGTTGCATGTAATCTGTAAGAATAGAAAAACAACAGATGGTTATTAACTAACACAAGTTTTCTTTCAAAGAGTCGTATTTTGAGTGGGCGCAAGAAGTTTTTATAGTCCGTTATCAATCATTACCATCCTTTTTTTTATCTGTTCTCCCTTTTATATTTGCGATCCTACTTTTGTGTTCAAATCTAACTTATCGAGTCAAATAGAATACAACGTATAGAAAAAATTTTATTTTTGACGAAAACGTTAGTCTAGATAAAGCTCAAAGAGCAAGAGGTAACAGGCAAGCTCTACTTTTCCTAAGTGAAGCAAAAATACGATTGGTAAGACTTGGTCGCCAGGTCGGTTATTTCCCATTTTAACCCCAGCAAATCAGAGCCAGCCCCCCATTTCATTCCCAGCCTAGTAGCAAAAAATGAAGCCCAACACTGTAGTTTTATTGATGAAATTTAATATCAGCATGAAATTGAAATTTAAGGTATGAAGAACAAATTTGTTCACAACAATATGATAGATTTTAAAAAAACTACAAATAAAGATGGGAATAAAATGACGGTTAATTACCGCAGAAAGTGTTCTCGAGGAAGTTTTTGTTTGACATCTGATGGTACACTTGCTTCTGCATGTGATGGCCCGCACTGACGAACTTCTGCCCCCCTCTGTTGAATTGTCCAGTGGAGGTCAGGCGATCGAATCTGTCCAGGACCTCCTTCGGACAGTTCTGGGTATCCACTTGATACCAGGGCATCGCAATAGTCTCTCCAGTAACCTAAAGAGTCTATTTTGGGTGTAATGTTAAAGATGCTTATAACACTTACAAGATTGTGGGCTCGAAATTTCAAGTTCGCCAGGAACTTTTTTACCAATTATTCATAGCAATTTTGATCAATTTTCTTGGCTAAAATGGTAAACTCTGCATCAAATGCATCAAGTTTTGATGCTGAATGCTCGTTTTAAAAAACTAAATTGCTCTACCATCAGATAAAAAAACATTGGTCGGTTTCGAGTTTTACGAAAACTGCAAAATCTACAAATGTTTGCCGGAAGAAAGTCTTGAAAGACTCTAAAATTGTTTTTTTTCTTCCACAAAATGATACCAAATTGAACTAGAAGCCAACTTACTTATAGACAATTACGAAGTGTTTTTCATGTATTCTAATTTTTGCTTGTAAAATTTAATATCAAAGACTTTACTTTGTCTTTCTGATAGTCGACAAGAAACGGTTTGTGCAGCAGTCCGATGTTGTCAATTTTCCTGTATTCAACCAGTGTTTCCATTGGCCTGGCATCTTTCGTCATGAACAAACTAGCCGGTTCTTCTGGCTCCCTGTACCCCAAATCATCCCACTTGGGAAGACCCGCCGCCTCTAACTTCCGATTGATTCGCTCGATCAACTCGGGTCCGAGATCAACTCGCTCTGCAATCTCGGCCGCTCTGGATTCGTCTCGGCTCATCTCGGCTTTTGCCTTCTCGATGTCGGGATTCCGAGTTCGGTTTTTGCTGAATGTTATAACGTGGTTCACGTCAGGCTCTCGGTCGACCGAAAAGCGAGCTCTGACGTCGTCAAATCCGGCCAAATTGTCGATTCTTTGTTTCAAAAGTCGACGACCAAGTCTCTTTTTTTGAACTGCCTCAGATATTTCCTAAAATATTCGTTCTCAAAAAGTTATGACAAGTTATGACTAAAATGGTAAACTCTGCATCAAATGCATCAAGCACAAATTGAAAAAAAAACACAAACACAGAACTTTAAGCTTAAGGTTTCTCCGGGACTAAACAACACCCCCTCCCCCGTCCATTCCTCACCCAAACCCATGGACCCGCGATGCCTAGTGTATACCGCGTCTCTCACTCACGTACCTGTGATGCCTGGTGTATGGTGTCGGCGGTGGGTCTCTGCTGCATTCGGAGTAGCTTCTCCTCTATCTCTTCCCTCGGAAGAGTTTGATTGGCCACGAACATGTAGTCTTTATCAGTCGGGTCACGAAGCGGAATGTCATCTGCAACGTATTAACACGACAACATTTAAAACAAAATAGGAAAAAAAAACGATTTCAACCTCATTACGAGGCCATTTGTGCACTGGATAGGCGCACAATTTTGTGTCTGTATGTTCCTGGATTCCAGAGACAAGTATTTAAACATGTTCCAAAATGTAAGTGGATTCCACTTACAATATTCACGTGGATTCCGAGTACATATACTTGCAATGTAATTTTTGTCGGCACAGTTAACTTGTTGCGGATTCCGCAACAAGCAAATATAGCTAGTTGTTCTGGATTCCGCAACTCCAAGTGGAATCCGCAAATGTAAGTTTTGGAGCGAACTTGAACGGTACAGTGTTTTAGGTATTTGTTTGTGGAATCAAAAACAGCAAAGAAGATCAAAGAAAAATAGCAATGTTGCGGATTCCGCGACAAATCTGATTTGGGCCTGTTGCAGAATCCGCTTACAAGGCACAGAATGCACAGTTTGGCCTCGTAATGATTGTCATGGATCTTTTGAATGTTTTACTTGGGCGTGTGATATCTGCATACACTAGCTTATTTTTGATAAGATTTCCTACAATAGACCATTTTTTCAGATTTGAAGACTTACAGAGAAAAGAAATGAAAAAATTTTGTGAGCATGATGAAGAAAGTAATCGTTATGCATTGCGCATACAAGCAATTTTGATGAAAACTTATGGAGCCGAGCTCAATTTACTGATTTACTTGTAGAAAAAAAGCAATGAAAAACACTACAGCTCCGGTTTTCAATGAAGCTGGCAGAACTTTGGTGCTCGGGTTGGGTTTCTCTCCCGACACTTTTTGATTTTTTCATCTTAATTTTTGTATAAACATTTTATATAACAAAAGAATAAAGAAATCTTGAGATCAAGTGTTTTACCAAATATGTTCAACTGTGGTCCTTTTTGTTCCGATCGAAAAAATGGCTTACTACAAAAAAATTTTTATACCCCATTGAAGATATCAACTTCCTGAGTTCAAACTTAAAAAAAATATTTTTAGATTATTTTTTTAAAGTTCGGGGAGTTTGAAAATTGCCAAAGGGACCATGTTTGAAGAAGTTGAGAGCGTAACGCGAATAAGTTATGCGGGGCAGATTTTTCCGCACAACAAAATCGTTCCAAATTGAATTGAGGCTAGCTAATCGGATTGGCCGTATTAATTTCGAACGACAAAACATTTCACACTTTATAGGTTTTCAATAATTTCTTTTCTCAAAAATTATTTGATATGGATTAAAGGACTTGCCCTAATATACGAGCAGTCTTGTTTTGAATTTTTATGAGGGTTCAGATGTTGCAAAATTTTGTAAATTAATGCGTGAT